TATATATATATATCACTGAGAAATGACTATTGTTGTCCAAGTTCTGGTTCTATTTCTGTTTGTTTACTTATGTTTACTTTCTAGCTGTTGCTCATGATGAGCTACTACAAACCTGGTTATTGTAAGACTTACCGAGTCCAGAAGCGGAGGAAGTAAGACGGGAACCGGAACCAATCTGTACAATTACCACTCTTAACATCCACAGTAAAACCGCATATGACGTCATTGCTAACTTTTTCTACAATACTATTGGTTAATGAAGCGAAAATATACATCTTTGTTTTTTACCGATATAATAATATTGTAATAATAATAATAACAACGTTCAAGAAGATTATGGTAGGAGTGTGAAAGAGTTTCCCAAACCACTATTACAACCCTGGACCTTCTGCTGTCTTTGCAGCTCAGACTGCTTCTTCCTTGTGAATTCATACGATTACAAATAATCCTTCACACTCTTTTGTGCACGCGTATTTGAACAGCAGCAGTCAATTTCTGGTTTAATTAGTTCCTTTACAGTGAATATGACATTTTGAACATAATTGCAAGCGGATATTTGACTTTAATAGCATTTGAAGCACACAATAAAAATGAAAAAACATATGGGCCTATTCCTATTCCTTACCTACTCAAACTGTATAAATAATAATAATATGTAAGTAAGTAAGTCACTTGTACTTTACTAGTCACTTACCTTGCAGTTACGTGAAAGCTAAAGTCCAAATGAGATTTAGACGCGATGGTACTGCTAAGTAACAAAACCGTTATCATGACGAAATATTATTTCCGGTCGAAGAAGCGCATCTATTTCCTAAAATAAATAATAAGGTCAAGGAAATTTGAAGATACACATCTTCTTAAAAGAATGAATGTCACACCTGCTAACAAGCCCTTATGGGTCATCTACGTTACTTGCCGAATAGGCCTACTTCCAAAAGGTGCCATTGAATGTGTCTGTGTTTAATTGTTTTAAAACTTGTTTGCTTTTCAAAATAGTAAAATAATGTTCTTTTAAAAAGGCTACAGTGCGTATACTAGTGACTGTATATAAATAAAGATGAAATAAAATACAAGTAAATATATTTTATGAAAAAATATCAATAATAATAATAAATTGATTAAAATATTTAACAATTTTTATTGGGGCTCCAGACGCACGTCATGGTAAATTTATTGCTTTTGGGGTCCCAAGGCACGAAGATTTTTTTAACGTAGAATAGTTTGGTAAAATCTCATGAATTATTTATAATCATCCTCATAGGACATATTTAGCGCATGCACCTTTTTTCAAGTCTGTGTCATCCTCAATGATCAGTGCATCTATATGCATATATTGCGACGGATCTGTGTTCGATTTTGATAGGACAACAATACACGAGGCACGATTCACTTTGTGTCCCCGAGATTCAGCCTTTGTATGGGCCTTGTATTTGAATAAATTCAGCCGTTGTATGGGGCTTCTTATGCTTCTTCCATTATAGTGCAAACTACCTGTCGGTGTGTTTTCGTACTGGAAGGGCAGGGGCTGTAAGATGAATCAGTATATAGGGGTAACCGGGTAACCCCCCCCCCCTACTTGTCTAGAAAGATGTGTTATAGTACACATGAGCCATTTGTGTAAACTCGGCCTACGGTTTATAGTCCTTATCCGAGAAGATTTGCTTCACCCCAATAATGTCTTGACGCTTACTTCCCCACCCCACCTCAGAATTCGGACGATGTCGCCGCCACTGTACAAAACAAAATAAATAAGTTGCATAAAATAAATAAATTACCTTCTTTTATGTTTACTTTGAAAGTTAAGTTCAAGATAAAATAAAACAGACTGGAAGTTGATATACCGGTAACAGACTGAATGAAGGCTCTAATTTTACGTGATAATAATAATAC